TGGAAACATATACCATGTTCATGGATTGGAAAAATCAACATCATAAAAATGTCCATACTACACAAAGCAACCTACAGATTCAATACAATCCCTATTAAAGTACCAATGGCATATTTCACAGATCTAGAACAAATACCCCAAAAGTTTATATGGAACCATAAAAGATCCCAATAGCCACAGCAGTTTTGGAAAAGAAGAATAAAGTGGGAGGGATCACAATATAAGACATCAAGTTATACTACAAAGCCATCATAATAAAAATGGCCTGGTACTGGCACAAAAACAGGCATATAGATCAATGGACCAGAATGGAGAACCCAGATATCGACCCAAGACAGTATGCTCAATTAGTATTTGACAAAGGAAGCAAAAGCATACAATAGAGAAAAGACATTCTCTTCAATAAATTGTGCTGGGAAAATTGGACAGCTATATGCAAAAAAATGAAACTGGACCATCAACTTACACCATATACAAGAATAAAATCAAAATGGATAAAAGACTTAAATGTAACCTATGAAGCCATAAAAATCTTAGAAGAAATGTAGGTAGAAAAATCTCAGACATCATATGTAGTAGAGTTTTCACTGATGTATTGTCTAGGGGAAGAGAAACAATGGAAAAAATGGGACTACATCAATCTTAAAATTTCTGCACGGCAAAGGAAACCAGCATCAAAATAAAAGGGGAACCCTCGCTCTGGAAGAACATATTTGCCAACGATACACTGGATAAGGGGTTAATATCAAAAATATATAGAGTAAAAAAATATATATATATATAAACAAAAATTAATTAATAAATATATATATATATATATATATATATATATATATATATATATATATATTACTCATACAACTCAACAAAAGAAAGACAATCCAATTAAAAAATGGGCAGAGGACCTGAATAGACACTTCTCCAAATAGGACATACAAATGGCCAAGAGACATATCATCTCTAATCATCAGAGAGATGCAAATTAAAATGACCATGAGGTATCACCTCACAACTGCCAGAATGGCAGCCATTAACAAATCCTCTAACAACAAATGCCAGCAAGGGTGTGGAGAAAAGGGGACTCTTGCACACTGCTGGTAGGAATGCAGACTGGTGCAGCTATTATGTAAAACAATATGGGATGTCCTCAAAAAATTAAAAATAGAACTGACTTTTGACCCAGTGATCCCACTTCTTGGAATATATCCTAAGCAGCCTGAAACTCCAATCAGAAAGAATATATGCACCCCTATGTTCACAGCAACACTATTTACAATCGCTAAGATCTGGAAACAGCTCAAGTGCCCATCAGTAGATGAGTGGATAAAAAAGCTGTGGTGCATTTACACAATGAAGTACTATGCAGCTGTAAGGAAGAAAGATGTCTTACCCTTTGAGACGACATGAAGGGACCTGGGGAATATTATGTTAAGCGCAATAAGCCAGTCAGAGAAAGACAAGTACCTCATGATCTCACTTACCTGTGGAACATAATGAACAAAATAAGCTGTTGACCAAAAGAAATCCAGAATCATGGAAGTAGGACAGACTGACAAACCTCAGAGGGACGGGGGGTGGGAGGGAGAGAAGAGATAAACCAAAGAACTTATATGCAATATGCACAACAATCTACAGGGACACTAGGCTGGGGAGGCAGGAGGGGGTGGGAGCAGCAAGGAGGAGGGTCAATGGGAAAAAAGGGAAACATCTGTAATAGTTTCAACAATAAATAAATTAGTATGAATAAAGTAAAACAGGTCATGCATGGACCAAGGATGACTATCTCATGAACTAAGGATTAGATTTAATCTAGTGCAACACAACTAGAATCCATCAAAAATATAACAAAACAAAAAACTTCACCCTTTAAAAAACCCTCAATGTTTCCTCGTTGCATTGGGCCTCTTGTGGCCTTTAAGCTGTGAGATCTAGATCTCCCCTTATCTTCATTTCTTCAACATGATGCAAGAAAGGGAGGGAGGGAGGAGGAAGAGAAAAATAAAGAAGGAAAAGGCTGCAAGAGCCAGAATCCTAAGCTAAGCGAAGGTCATCTGACAAGGACAAGTCATTCTTGAAGTCAGGATCCAACTTTTGGAGGCAAACGCCTCCAAAATTATCACAGTTCTTGTGCATTTATTTCCCATTTTCTTATTTCTTTTGGAAAATCCCAAACCTTCACTCTCCAATAGCAGCCGTTAGCCACTGTAGTTATTAATTAAAATGTAACAGTTACAAATTCAGCCCCCCAGTCACACTAGCCCCATGTCAAGAGCTCAGGGTAATCGAGGCTGCTGGCTCCTGTGTCAGACGTCACAGCTCTAGAGCATTTCTACCCTCTGGGGAAGTTCTGTTGGATGGCACTGCTTTAAACCCAGCTCAGCTGGAAAGAAGGGGCGGAGGAATTGCTGCACAGGAGCCGGGCTGGAGGAGTGCAGGAGAGTCCAGGGCTTGGCAGAGAGGACCCCAGTGGGCAGCAGACAGGGGGAGCCAGAGAGCTCAGCCAAGCTATCTTCCATGGAGAGTTCCACAGCCCCAGGCCCAAAGCTGACAGCACTTCAGGCAGGGACCCCAGGTGACCAGGACAGCAGGCTCAGAGCCACCTGGAGGCTTTTACTCTGTCCCCAGAAGGGGGTGTCTGGAAACTCAAACCTGGGACGGTGGGGACAAGTGTCTATGAATATCCTAGCTGACCGCTGTTCCCTCCCCTCAGCTGTCCTGCCTTTCAGGACCTCTGGGGAAGATCAAAGGGGTGGGCTAAGAGATGCCAAACTGTTAGCAAGCATGGCCATTCATTTTGGAGCATTGGGAGAGAGGAGGCGTTGAGTCTTTCCCCATCAACCCACACCCTAGGAGGCAGGAAGTAAACCCTCCCCCTGCAGCCAGGGCCTTTCCTAGCTAGCATCCATGTGCTGATCAAACCCTGTCCCCCGTGCTGTCATCCAGGACCACTGACGTGGCCATCACAGCAGGAAAGCCCTTGAAGGAGAATGCACAGATGAGGAAGCTGAGGTCCAGGGTGGGAAAGGAACCCAGCCAGGCCTCGGCAGAGTGGGAACAGGGCTGCCCACTTTCCTGGCTCCCATCCTCGCACCAAGCAAGCTGGCGGCTTCCCCGGAGTGCTCGCATCCTCGTCTGCTCAGCCATCCCCCTGTCCAGCAGGGATCCCACCTGCTCTCCCACAGGTCCTGGCACAGAACACAGGAATGTGAGGTGGAGCCCGTGCCGGAGGGCAGACTGAGTGGCCTGAACAAGGGGGCTGGGCCTGGCAGCCAGTCAGGTTCGGCCTTTTCCTGGAACCCAGCCTCTCTCTGAAGCTCTGAGGAACCACCTGAAACAGGGGGTCAGCTCCCCTGGGACAGCTTGTCCAGCCAAGAAATAACGGCAGGATCCCCGGCCAAGTGACTAGTGGGGGTGGAGGGCGCTGGCCACGGGAAGGGGAGAGGGGAGGGCTGTCAGGGGCTCCCACGGCACCTGGGCTCCTCGTCAGACGGCAGGCCCAGCAGCTGCTTCTGCCAATGGGCCGTGGGGCCTCCACGCAGTATGAGGCTCACTGCACCCCAGCACAGGCCCCCCACGTGAGCACTCACTCAGGAGAAAGATCACTGAACCAGTACATGAGGCAGAGAGCTGGGGGTTGGGAGATCCTAAGCAGAGCAGCTGGGGTAGGGCTGGCGGTGAGGGGGTGGAGGGCTTAGCAGTTAAGAACACAGAACCTTATTTTCCTCTGATTTCCTCTGATTTCCTCATCTACAATCATGTGAGCAAAGGTCTCGCTCTGCCTGACCTTGGAGCTTAGAAGCAGGGCAGAGCACCTGCCGGTACTGAGGTTTCCTTCTCTTCCTTCCCCAGGCCCACCCCGTAGGCAGGAACTACCTGTGTCCTAAGGCTCAGCATGGCCCAAAGGTGTGCTGTCAGTAAGAGGCACAGCTGAGACTCACACGTGGGAATGTCATACTTCAGAGATCACACTTTGAACCACTCTCCATTCATCCAGCTTCTGGCAGGGAGCACCACCTGTGTGAGGCCTGGCCCAGGTGCTGTAACAGCTGGGAACACACCCTGCCACAGCTCAGCGCACCTGCTAGTTAGTGGAGGAGACAGACCACACAACGGGCAAAACCACATACAACTGAATAACGTAACGTCCAAATAAAACAAGTGCTACAGAGGAAAATCAGGGTAAGAGGATAGAGTAGGGGTCGCTACACTTTTTCCGCAAAAGGCCAGACAGTAAATAGTAAAGGCATTGCCACCCACGTGGTCTCTGAAACTGCTCAGTTCTGTGAAAGCAGCCCTGGGAAGTATGTAAATGAGAGGCGTGGCTGTGTTCCAATAAAACTTCATTAATGGACAGTGAATTTAGGATTTCATAGAATTCTCCTGTGTTACAATATGTTCCTCTTTGGATTTCCCCCTCCCCCCAATCTACAGAAACACAGGCACCATGCTTGGCCTGCAGGCCACACGAAACAGGTGGTGGCCCAGATTAGGCCTGTGGGCTGCAGTTTGGCAACTCCTGGGACACGGAGTGGCTGGGTGTCTATGTGGAAATGTACTTTAGTTTTTTATTTTTGAATTCTGTTTCAGATTATAACTTGCCGTTTGTAAAGGATGTACTATAGAATGGTCGAGAGGCCTCCCCAAGGTGACAACACTGAGCAGAGACCTGAATGGGGCAGGCAGTGAGCCCTGAGCTCCCAGAGAGGAAACAGACAGTACAAGGCCTGGCACCGTGCCTGGAGGGGTCAGGGAGGCAGACCACGTGGGCCTCCAGGCCCTGGGGAGGACTTTAGTCCAAATGTGACGGCAAGCCTCTGGGCTCTGGCACTTACTAGCTTTGTGACATTGGGCAAGTTGCTCAACTTCTCTGTGCCTCATTTCTTAACAAAACGGAATGATAACCCGTCTCAAAGGGTGGGAGGACCTGGAGAGCAAATGCTCTAGACGAACGTCAGCTGCCAGCAGGAGCTGGGAGAAGGGCGCAGCCTTCGTCAACTCACCCACGATGTCCACCACGTCCGGCCGGATGAGCGGCTCTCCACCCGTGAGCCGGATCTTGTCCACACCTTCCTTCACGAAGAGCCGTGCCAGGGTCAGGATCTCCTCGGAGGTCAGCAGGTCTGCCTTGGGGGTCAGTGGGACACCCTCCTCCGGCATGCAGTACTGACCTGCAGGGCAGGGACGTGGAGGATGACAGCAGTCAGGCCCAGGCTGCGTCCAGGGCCCCCACCGGCCCAAGACTTTCTCCTGAACCCCACGCAGACAGTGAGGAGAGACCTCGCCAAACTGAGGCGGCATAGACCCTAGGCCGCTTCTCTCTGGGCCTCAGCTTTCTCATCTGTGAAACGGTAACACTCCCTCCCCACCGTGGGGGAGCTGAGGGTACGGGTTAAAGACAAGACAGGCAGAGAGCAGAGCCTCGCTCAAGGGAGGAGGATGCCCACATGTTGACTTCTCAGTGCTGGGCATGGCTGCCGGGAGGGCCAGGGCCCTGGGCCCATTCCTTGCGGCATCGTTCACCCTCTTTTGTTTCATCTGGTTTTGGCAAATAGTGACCCTCCCGTGTGTGTCACGGGGTAGAAAGGGCTTGGAAGGACGCTCTGGCCTGGTCACACCGCTGTTCTCTGGAGCTACACGTGTTCTCATGAACGGCCCATTTCAGGTTACTGCCGGTGCGGTTTGACAGTGAGAACTCAGGCACTGCATGCCCAGGGCCAGGTAGCAGAGCGGGTAAACGAGGTGAGCCCTGGCAGCGAGGGGCACCCCCTCTGCTCGGTCTGGTGGCACAGTGTTAACAAGGATTGGTAGCAGGTCATTTCACCAAACTAGCGAAGGTCCAGAATTAGTCTTTTAAAACTGAATAGAATAGGTAAGAGCATCAGAGCATCAGTACTGCATGGAGTTTTGTCTGGTTAAACATTTATTACACACATATTTACGGGGCCATGAAGTAAACACATTTCCTATTGTGAATTGCAGAGGATAGAAGGGAGGAAGGGAGGAAGGGAGGGAGGGGGCGGAGGGGAGAGGGCAGCCAATGAACTTTAGAAATAACGCAGCAGCGGATACACCCCAGAGCCGTCCACGTGGGGTTATGAAACGAGAATTCCATCATCTTGGCCCCGATTTCCGCCATGAGACTGGCTGTCTCCACAGCTGGCAATGTTGGCCATGGGCACTGCTGTGGACCTCACATGTTCCTAGCGTCTAGCGTGGCCACCCTGGAATGTCCTGAACTTTGGGCAGTGCAGGGAAACGGGAGGGAGGAAGAGAGACCCTGGAGAGGAAGGCATCCAGCTCCAGTCTCAATGCTAAACAAACAGCAATTCTGTTCTTGAATCCAACCCCAAGCGGAGCCAGCTTCCAGGACTGTAAACTCAAGCCTTGATCCCTACCTCGCCCCTGACCCCACCTGGCAAGCAAGCAAGACTGGCAGGTGAGGAAGTTATAAAGGAGCGGGGAGCATGGAGGACTCCTGGGCGCGGGGAGATTTCAGCCGTGGGACAGAAGCTCAGCAGGGCCCAGGAAGGAGACTCACATCGGAGGTTGCACTTCTCGGTGAGGGAGATGCGCAGGTAGCTGTGCTGGCGGCCAAAGCCGTCGGTGAGGAAGGCGGAGAAGGGGGTGGCATGCTCCCTCAGGAATCGCCTCCGCCCGGACAGCTCCTGCAGGGACAGGGCGGGAGGAAACGTGGATGAGCGCAGCGAGGGAGCCCGCCTGGGGAAAGCCCACCTCTGGGGCATGACCCCCCACTGACCACCCCCTCCCTCGTCTTTGACATCTGTGCAGCAGCACCTCTAACTTTGCATCCATGTGGGTTCCACAGTCCGGGGGAGCTGGGATTCCCCCTCATCCACACACTGGCCTGAGGGAAGGACACTCAGCCCCGGGGGTGCGGGACCTCGGCAGGCATGCCTACCCCCTTCCTTAAAGGAAGCCTCTCCAGGAACAAACAATCCAGTATCTCCTGGACAGGCCACTGGGAGAGAATGTGCCACTTGGCACTTGGCAACCACGCCAGCTGGCAAGCAGGTCCAGAAAGGAGAAAGGAGGGAGCGGGCAGCGGAGGGACCGGGGCACCACTGCTGCCCTGCCTGGGACTTGGTGAGCCACCTCTCCAACCAAGGCCTCCCATTCCTTCCCTTTACAGTGGGAGACAGACAGCTCCAAGCAAAATCACTGACTGGGTGTCACACAAGCTGCCTCCCCCATAACTCTCTCTCTCTGTTGGCTGGGCTCCCTGGAGCGCCCCACTGCCCAGGAAGACCCAACTGGCCAGGCCATCAGGAGCAGCTGGAAGGGTATACACACAGGGAGGTCTCCCCTCACCCAGGAGGCCTGCAGGGCAAGGACAGCAGAGCCTGGGATCCCTGCAGAAGGAACGAGGCCACCAGCCCCAGGAAGGCAGAATAGAGGGGCCGAATGACCATGCAGAGATTACTCCAGCCTTGATCCTTCCAGGACTCATTGTCAGGAGAAAAAAATAGGCATCCATTGTCTGAGGCCTAAGGGGGAGGAGGTTGCCGGAGATTCCCTGCAAGGCCAAACCCCTGCTGGAGAGAAAGAAGGCAGCCAACCTCACCCTTTCCAAAGTCTTATCTAGTCTAATTTCCCGCCTTTGAGCAAAACCTGGGTCAAGACAGGTGCTGGGATCACTCTCTGAGAAGGAACACTTGCAAGACACCCTAAAATCACAAAGAATGTTCCTGCTCAATTCCCACACCTACCCCAAAAGGATTATTATAAGTATGGCTTGGACGGGGTCCAAGAACATTCTCGGCAGAACTAGGATTCAAATTCAGGTCTCTGCTTCCAAGTTTACATTCTTTCCTCTAATTCCATAGGGTGAGTCCGAGAAGACACGTGGAGCAGTTCACTGGGTGAACAGAAGTCATTTCTTCAGAATCTTTAGAACAAAGATATCATGACCTTGGCAGTGGTCCATGCGGTCTACGGACAGGATTCTGGATTGGGGTAAGAATCCTGGTTTCTGCCCGGCGGGTGGCTCCGCGGCTGAGTGTCGACCCGTGCCCAGTCCCCAGTGAGGGGCATGCAGGAGGCTGCCCCCGATGTTCTCTCTCATCGATGTTTCCATCTCCCTCTTCCTCCCTCCCTCTCTCTCAAATCAGTAAAGAAAAAAAGAAAAGAAAAGAATGCTGGTTTCTGGGGCCAGCTGTGACCTTACAGACTGGGAAAGTTCCAAAGGCCTGTTTTCCTCATAAAATAATAAAAAGAGAATAATGGGGTAAGTAAGGTGAGGGGAGGGGGCCAGGAAGCTGGTAGGCAAACAGCTAGGACTATGATGACCCTGTAACCTAAGGGGACAGAAGCTGCATGCCCTCCCGAGGTCCCGGGTAACTGTCCGCCTGTAGCCGGGAGGGAGGAACACGTACCTCAGCCCTCAGCCCCGGCTGTACTGCAACCACGAGGGGAGCCTAAGAAACACATCCCTCTGGAAATCAACTGAGTCTGTCCCTGAGCATGTGTGTTTCTAATGTCTCCAGGTGCTCCTGCAGCCAGGGCCACAGCCTGACCCAGGAGGCGGAAGGGAGAGGAGTGAGGGCGGGGGGGGGCGCTTTCCCAGGACGCCCACACCCAGGCCAGTGCCCCGCGCCCTGGAGAAACCCGCGCAGCCATGCCAGGTAAGCAGCACTCACTTCTCTGAACTGCAGTCTACAAGCAGCGCCTTCCTCCCTCCGCACCCCATTGCCTTTCCAGAGGTCGCCCTGGGGGAGGGGCAGGGGATGCTCCAGGGCCAGGAGTGCCATTGGTTACCAGAGTCTGGGAGGTCCAATACCTGGGAATCGAGGTTTATGGCAGAGTTGCACCTGCCACTCCATCAACAGCTATTTGCAATTCATTAATCTGTCAATCACCCCAGACCCCCAACTCCTCACTTGCCAAGATGCCCCACCTGACCCTCATCTAACACTCAGGGGAGATGGCTGGGTGAGGGAGGAGGCAAAATAAATCCAGGAATTGGGAGCAAGTGAGAGGGCCAAGGAGTATGACTCAGCAGAAATCAGGGAGCAAGCAGCTGACTGGGCAAACAAGAACGGAATTAGGTGCTCTGCTCTGGCCAGGGAGGGGCGGCTGGAGTTCACTTTTGAGACCTGGAGTGACCTTATCTAGATTCATTCAGACTCTGTACACACATACAGACTCTCTCTCTCTCTCTCTCCCCAGCCCCCTCCTTCCCTCTCCCTCTCCCACTCTCTTGGATATTAACAAGCCTCATCATCCTGGCCAGTTTGGCTCAGTGGTTAGAGCTTCGACCCATGGACCAGAGAGTCCTGGGTTCGGTTCCCGCTAAGAGCGTATACTGTGGTTGCCGTTTGTCCCCAGCCCCGGTTGGGGTCGTGCAGGTGGCAACCAGCCGATGTGTCTCTCTCACATTGATGTTTCTCTCTCTCTCTTCCTCCCCCTCTCCCTCCCACTCTATCTGAAGATGGATGCAAAAATGTCCTCCGGTGAGGATAAAAAAAAAACAATCCTCATCCCTACCTCTTTTCTCCTCCAACACTGCATGTCCTACTTTTGTTCTTCTAGTTTTTTCCTTTCCCTTAAATCCCCTTGAGGAAAAAATATCAGTGCCAGTCAAAGGAGCCCAGGACCCGGAGGGAATGGCACCAGCAGGGCAGAGCACTGATGCCCTTCGCTGCCCACATTCCAGGGCCCCAGCCTGGGTCAGGCTGTTTCCCGTGTGGGTAGCCCTCCTGTGTGACTCAGTATCCCGGTGTCTACACAATATGTTAGTAGCAAGTGACAAACTGTGTCAATGGACAGAAAGACAGGCCCCTAATCCAAAGAGAAAGGCAGTGTGTGCAAAGCCCGAGCTACATGGGGATCGTCCTTCACCTCCGGGCTGGACTCGCCTGGCGCAGTGGGTCTCAGCTTGCTCGTGCATTCAACTCCCCCGAAGAGCTTCTGAGTGCTGATGCCCGAGGCTCCCTAAAGAATCTGACTCAACTGCTCTGTGATGGGCTGAGAGCCACAGGCCCAGCCACACCAGGATAAGGGGCTATTTTCCTCCGGGGTAGTTGCAGTTCTGAGCACAGGCTTTGCGAGTAGATAAACCTGAATTGCAAGCCTGGCTCTGTTACTAACTAGCTGACAAGCTGAATTCTTAAGCCTTAGTTTCCTCATCCATAAAGCGTGGGTAATATTTCTACCTCACTTGATGGCACAGATTAAGTATTGGATATGTGATTCCTGCCATGTTCTTCCAGGAACTGCTACTCACACGTACTCAGCATCAGACAAGCGCCCGGAGCACGGCTGTGTGCTGTGGCTAGTCTTCCCGCCGTCAGCTCCCCACACCTGCCAGGCCTTGGCCTTCCAACCCGTGGCTGGCATTTCCGACCTGCTGCCACCCAAAGCAGGACAGGAGGGTCTGAGCCACTCCAGGACCACTGATAATAGTGCTAATAACCACGTTCTCAGCAGCCTGCCACATGCTACTGGCTGCCTCTTGTCTCCCTGCCCAGTGCAGACTGGGGCTGAGTGGGGTGGGCAGGGTGGTACAAAGGAGTTGAGTGCTTCCCCTAGCTGTTAGTCACTCACCGTGGTCATTGATTTCAGTGGTAAAGGCCAGCCCCCAAATAGCTTTAGAGTGAGTGTACACAGAGGTAGTAGGAGAGAAAACACATGCCAAACTCAAATACCAGTGGCCCCGGCTGACCTGCTGTTTATGATGACGTACACCATGCGTGCCTCAAAATTAATCTCTGCTACCCGAGAGGACTTAGCACAAAGCCCAGCCCCAGGCCTTGCTCCCTTCCTCCCCCTCATTCCCACCCTAAGTATGTGGTCTTCACATCTAAGGCTCCAGGCAAGGAGTGTCACACCTACCAAACCAAAGCTTTTAAAGAGCTGAGCGACTGGGAGTCAAGATAACATCCTGCGGCCCCTCGGTCTTCTTTCCCTCCCAGTGTCCCTGCCCCAGGCCAGGGCCTGCTGCCCCTCCCGCCTTCTCCTCCACCCACTCCCTCTTCTTTCCCAGCCATTTGCACAGCTGGGTGCCTTGGCCTTGCCTAGTCCCTCCCTCTCTCCCCTGCCCGGAGGCAGCAGGACCAGGACGGGAGGCCAGCCCTCTCTTGCCCCAACTAAGCCTGCAGGGGCCTGCGAGGGAGAAAGGGATGCAGTGCTTCTGGACGGGGTAAGCCTTGCAGGGAAGACTGCTCAGGCCGCCCCAATCACAGTGGCAGGTAGCTGTCTCCCTCGTCCCAGCTCCCCACATAGCCACATGCCACCTCCCCTTTCTACATGGAGAAGCTGCTCAACCTGTCCTTGGACAAAATCCAAGGCCTCCTTTCCACCACCCTCACAGCCAGCTCCCACGCCACACTTCCCATCGCTCACCTACACCCCGACACGACACGGAGAATGCTATCTCCCCAGTGGCTTTTCCCTGTCTCTCCAAGCAACCCCCCATCCCAAACCAAAGGGCCAAGGCCCTGTGGGGGGTGTGGGAAAAGGTACTCTGCAGGAAGGGAAGGGGGGATGGGGTCCCAGGTGCCCTCACCCCTGCTCTTGCCACTGGACACTCGGGATAGGCTGCACATATATGTACCTCCAGACTTGTCTCACCTCTGAGACTCTTCAAGAATTCTGTGCCCTCCCCCCACTGTGTAAAGATGGGCTGCTTTAACCCTCTGGTTTTAAAGACCTGAAGAGGGAAGAAGTGACACCCCAGGAGTCAGGTAAAACTGGAGGCAAAGCAAGTGTGAAAACCTGGGGCACCCTTTCCTGTGCTGTGTCTACTCCTTGTGCCCCCTCACTAGCTGGGTTTCAAACAGCCAAACCTATCTGCTGACTCCATCACCTACACACCACCGTGTTAAACACCATAGGGGAAGTCCAAGGAAGGTGGGGTAGCATCCAGCACAACCTGTTGGCTGAGGGTAACTCTAGAGGGGAGCGGCCAGGATGGGAGGTCTGTGGTCAGATTGTTGACAGAATGACTATCTTGAATGTCCAAGTGGGAGGGGATGATTGGGGCACAGCAGGGGTCAATGTCAACAAAGACTATCATTACAACAAATACATACTTAACACTGTACTCACATGCACTTAATCTCTATTATCAGCTGGTGGTTATTATAGTATATTATTCCCACTTTACACATGGGGAGACTGAGGCACTGAGAGGTGAAGTTCACATGCCTAGTAAGTGATAGGGCTGGGGTTCAAATCCAGACATTCTGTTCCAGAGTCCATGCTTGTACCTGCTAAGTACAGCTCCCCGCACAGTGTCAAGGAGAGGCTACTGGAGTTTGAGTCCCTGCCCCTTACAGCCCTGTGGGTCCAGGGACCTTAACTTCAATAAGCCCTCACACCTGAAATACCCTCTACTCTTCAGACTTACTGTGTGGACTAAAGCACTTAGCACAGGTCCTCATGAAAGGTACAAAATGATTAGGGGCAGGAGGAAAAAGAAACTTCCCTTTTCCTGACCGGTTTAAAGATCTCTCGGCAATGTTTGCTTTCCTATTTCCCCCTCAATGGAGTTTAAGGGTACTGAAAAACATGTCTGCACTTCCCAGCAACTGTGCCTGATCCCAGACCGCAAGTGAGGCGCCCCCTGACTGGGTGGTAGTGGGGGTGGTATGGGGAAAGCAGGAGCTGATGAATCCCAGGACATGCAGCCTTGTGCTGGGAGACGGAAGAGAATGACCAGATGGGTCTAGAAAATAAGGTTTCACCAAATAAAAAGAGATGCTTCTCCTAATATTATTCTCTGATCATACACACACAAAAGAACAGCAAACTTGAAAGTTGTTATGCTATGAATCAGTCTGAGGGTGTTGTCAAGGACCGGGGACCGATGCCCACCCAGAAGAGAGAGGGGAATCCCTCACCTGGAAGGGCCCAGGTCCTGCCCCCGCTGCTCTAAAATGGGGCTGAACCCTCCCCAGGGAAATGAAGATGAAACAGAAAGTCAGTCCGAACCCTGTGACTACCGAAGTGACAGGCGGCTGTTGGTACCAAGGTGACGCTTTCCGTCAGTGTCACACTTTACAGCAGGGTGGCACAGAACACCGGATCCCACACAGGCAAGTCCACGGGGGGAGAGGGGGCACATGTTTAAGGAAGAGGCTGAGTGTGAGGCGGGCGGAGAGGGGTGCTAATAACATCTCATAGGATCCAAAGTCCTGCCGGCTGCTCCCCATCTCCGGCAGCCACCCGCACCTGCTGGGGTTGCAGGGCTGGTGGGCAGCGAGGTTTGTAAGCAAGACCGCAAGGAGCGGACCCCCTCCCCCACCCTGGTTCAAGTACGGGTGAGACCAGGCAGTCCATCCAGAGAACATCATCCCACTCCTCTCCCTACCCCCAATTAGGCGGCGAGGGGTCCCTCCCAGAATTAGCGGCCTCAGACGGGCGGGGTGCTTCTCTGGGCTTAAGGGGCAGCTTGCCAGGCCGCCCCCTCCCGGGACCGTGTAGATGCGGCGGGCTCACCTCCGCGGCAGATTGGGAGGGTTCGCCGCGTCGGGGCTGCGTCACCCGAGCCCCTGAGCTGCAGCTCCGGACACTGGACCTCAGGACCCGCCGCAGCATCCGGGACACCAGCCGCGCCGCCATGAAGCCCGTTGGCCTAGGTGATACTCCCTAGGTAGCCAGCTTCAGGAGTACTCTAGCCCGGGACTCGCCGCCCCGGGTCATCGCGGCAGGGGTGGGGCGGGGGCGGGGCCAGCGCAGCCAATCGGCGAGGGTCCCGAGCCGCTCAGCCAATCGACGAGGGTCCTGAGCCGCGCAGCCTTCTGGGCGTTGTGGTCCACGCCCTCTGCTCCTGTCCTGTGCTGGGTAAGGCTTTCTAGGGCTTGGAAAGCAAGTTCAAGCTCAGAGGAAATCCCAGGTCTTTTCCTGCAGGCTTCTCTGGCTGCTCTGGTCCAGAGCGTAGGTCTTGGTGTGACTGCCACAAAGTGCTGTAGGCACAGCAGGACTAGGACCAGGTGAATACAGCATGGCTTTGGGCACAAAGTTGAAAAGGGTGCCAAAAAAGTAAGTTATCACGATAAATAATACTCTAATGCAATGTATTGAAAAGCCAAAATCAATGCAAAAAAATTCAGAAGGAACAAAATATCAACATTTTATATAAAAACGTGGTCTGACTCTGCATATTTATGACTCATCTCACTTCCTCAGACTGATCCATAGCATAACAACTTTTGAGTTTGCTGTTTTGGCCCTGGTTGTAGGATGATCAGCGCCTTTCAACATACACTTCTCCAATTGTGCTCCCAAAGAACATTAACAATTTTGGCCTCTTCGTTTAAAAAAGAAGTATATGGGGAGAAGTCATAGAATGAGTGCATATCATTTTTGTAATGCTTCCTACACACCAAGCTCCATGCTAGGTATCATTTAATAGTTAAAATAATCCTGCAATTAACAGAACATCCAGAACATCAATCTTGCAGCTGAAGAAACTGAGGCTTAGAGAGATGTTAAGTAATTTTCCCAAAGTCACATAGTTGATAGGTGGCAAAACTGAGACAACCTGATTTCTAAAGTGAAAACTTAGTATGTGTTAGGAATGGGAAGGAGTCTCTCTTTCTCACTTTCAAAAACAATGGCAGATAGCTGTCTCCCCACTTCCCACCTCCCCATGTAGCCACACGCCACCTCCCCTTTCTACATGTAGAAGATGCTGTAGTCTTCTAAGATTAAGAAGAACTATAGTCTTCTAAGATTTTGGATGGTAATGCACAGTCAATAATGAACCTATGTACTAAGGATCATTATGCTCAAGCCAACCTATCTATTGCATCCAAAACTCTATCATTGTAAAATTGCAAGACTCAAACATTGACTAGAACATACTAGCTAACAAGTGCATACTAGGAAATGAGGATAGAGTTTCTGGTCTTACAGAATTGACTGACTATGTATAACTGATAAGTACAAAGGCAGCAAGATTGTCAGAAAAGCCAAAATTATTTTAGCCTTAGATTTGAGATTTATTCAAAATTTAGACAGTACATTACAGGGAGTGAGGGTGTGTCTGGGTATGTTTGAAACTGGCGGGAACAAAAGCCTGTTTGCAAAGGGCCTGAGGACCACTGAAGACTGTTCAAAGCTCTGCCCACTGCTAAGTTTGATGTCTGGATTTGTCAGGAGAACTTTTTTCAGGTAAGAAGTCATGTGACATAAACTTGATCCAGTATTAAGTTTTTAGAATTTAGAGGAAGCCGAGATTCTGAGTCTATGTATTGGTTTTTAATTAGCTCTGTCCTGAGCTATTTAAGCTTTGGATTATTACTACAACAAGTTGCCACAAATTGGTGGCTTAAAACAAAATTATTCTCTTACACTTTCAGGGGCCAGATTATGATGTTGGCAGATTTGTTCCCTCCAGGGCTCTGAGGAGAACCTGTCTTCTTTGCCTTTTGCAGCGTGCAGAGCTGCATTCCTTGGCTCAAGGTCCCTTCCTTTATCTTCAAAGCCAGCAGTATAGCATCTTCTCTCTGTGATCGCTTCTATCCCATGGCCTCCTTCTCTTCTGTCTTAATTCTCCTCTGCCTTCTTCTTATAAGGATATTTGTCCTTGCATTTAGAGACCACCTACATAATCCAGGCACCCCTGTCCCTGGTGTCCAGGTGGATCTGGCCAGTAGGAGGCACAGACAGGAGGTCAGAGAGCAGAAGGAAAGAGAATTCAGAGTATTCATTTCCCCTACTGCCTGCAGGCTTTGCAGTGGTTCTGGCAATGACTGTGCCCTTCTAAAACCATAGCTGGTGTCACACAGACCCTCTGCAATGAGTCCATCTCTTACCAGGTCCAGTAACATCATATCGAACCCTTGTCCTTTCATGCTGGGGTGGGCTTTTTTTCTCTGTTGATAGTCGTGGATGCCTCAACATCCCTGTTGACCACTTTAACCCTGCCCTCACCTCCAAAATGGTCCCTTCAGCAAAATATCCCTTCAAAAACCCCAGATAAGTATGCTGTCTGCTTCTTGCTGGTTCCATGACCGATGCAGGACTCAAGGACTTCGCCCTCCCATAATCCCCTAGATTCACCTTTGTTAAAACAGTGGCAATTTCAACAGAGGGACAGTTTATTAGTTTATTTATAAGCCCTTTGAGGGTGGTGCCAAATCAAAACCATCTGTAACCATAGCACCTAGCGTGGTGCTTGATGCACAGTAAGATCCCAATAGGTGTGCATTAAATGGTGCATTTTGTATCTTTTACTTGCCTTTCTAGTCAGGTGGGCTGTATCAGTCAGGATGAGATAGATTGTGCTGCTATCACAAATAATCACAACATCTCAATGGCTGAAAACCATACATGTTTTTCATTTGTGTTCATATCCAGCAAGGGTTCGCTGGGGAGTGTTCCCCATCAATGTTGTCCTTGCCCTGGGACCCAGGCTGATGGGGCGGCTAATATCCCCCTGGAACACTGACATTACCAAGAGGAAAAGACTACAGCAAAGAGCAAACCCCGGCTCCTAGAGCTTCCTCCGGGGAATGCCACACATGACTCCTCTCAAAGCAAATCACATGTCCATATCTAATTGCAAAAGGAAGTGAAGCTTAGCCCTCTCACGAAGAGGGGAAGCAGATATTAGTAAAGATCTTATACAAGAACAAAGTTCCCCTTGTGTTCTAATGTGTCATCCAGGCTTTTCCATTCCTCTGGACAACCCTTCCCTGCATCCACCCCTGTCGCCTTGGTGCCCTTACACGCCCGCACATGTCAGTCATGCTCCCAGAGCCACGGAGTGCTGATTTGAGCACTCTCTTGTTTGGAGTCTGCCATTAGCAAAATTAAGAGGGAGAGAGTTTGTAATACCTCTTTAATTTAGTGATTCTCAAAGTTTTGGTTTCATTATCCAAACATGATTTCACAACGGATTGACTGCAAAAGCAGCTATAATAATCCAGCTGCCTTCTACTAAGCCTGACATGCAAGAGGTTTGCAAAAATACATCGCAATGCCCCTTTTCTATATTTTTGAAAATAGTTATTTATTTATTTATTTATTTTTTTTCACAGCTTAAATAACACAAATTTATTATCATACAGTTCTGGGGATCAGAAGTCTGACATGAGTCTCCCTGGGCTAAAACCATGGTACAGGCAGGATTGCATTCCTTTCTGCAGGTTCTAGGGGAGGATCTGTTTCCTTGATCTTTCACGTTGTTGGCAAAATTCAGCTCTTAAGTTTTAGGATTCCAGATTTTTTACTGACTATACATGGAATGCCCTTTCCAGCTTCTAAAGACACTGGCCCATCACCCCATCTTCTATCTGCAAAGCAACAGCAAGCCAAGTCCTTGTCATGCCGCATCGCTCTGACCCTTCTTCCACGGACACGTCTCTGACCACACGGGGAGAGCTTCTCCATTTTCAGGATGCATGTGATTAAGCTGGGACCATCTGAAGATAATCCAATAATCTTCCCATCTCAAAGTCCTTACAGTTAATTGACTGTGCAAGAAAATAGTTATTTTAATACGTGTTAACATGCACTAGGTATTATTGACTTTGTTATTTTATTTTATTTATATTATTTTAAATATTTTTTTATTGGTATATTAGAGAGACAGAGGAAGGGAGAGGGAGAGAGAGATAGAAACATTGATGAGAGACAACATTGATTGGCTACCTCCTGCATGCCCCCCATTGGGGATCGGGCCCACAACCTGGGCATGTGCCCTGACTGGAAATTGAACCGGTAACCTCTTGGTATATGGATTGACGCTCAAGCACTGAGCCATACCAGCCGGATGACTTTGTTATTTTAAATGGGTTAAATATTTAAAAAAAATTTTCAGTTTCTAATGCAATAAATATAAGTAAAATAAATTTATATAGTAAATAGATATTGAATAAATATACACACATAAGCAAACATTCTTTGGGGTCTTTGATACTTTTTAAGACTATAAAGGGTTCCTAACAAAAAGTTTGAGAATTGCTGCCTTAATATATAATCCCTCATCTTCTGGATACCCAGAAGCAGCCCAACAGTGCTTAGTGTCCACATCATTCTCCTCAAACCATTGAAAATAAAATAAAATCATACCAACTCCCTTATTTCCCTGGGTCCCTGAGGTGGGCTGCCTGTTTTGCTAAGGGGATAGTGGTGGATGATAGCTTCAAGGATCCTCCCTAGCAACCAAGTTCAGTGCAGGAGCCCCATGCTGGGAAACAAGCCCAGGCTTCATGTCTAACCTCTGCTGTTCAGTCTCCTTCTACTGGGTTACGTTTCTCGTCAGTTAGAAATCATAAACAGGTCTTCAGCTTTGGCGGGATAATTAAATCATGTAAAGTATAAATATGCGCTCTGTTGTTTTGATGACTTCATTTAGGAACGAGGTGTGCCTTACTGGAGTTACTGAAGCCGCCCTTTTCCCACATGAAAGAGATTACACAGATTGATTTCTGTAGGTCCATTAAGCCTCTGGTGGGGCTTTATTAGAATTAGGTAACTGTCATAAGGGATTTGTGAGCCCATTTTAAACCATGAATACTCTAATCAGATTAGTTTAACTGTTTTCCAAAAATAAGTAGCCAAAAAAATAAAAGGAAATGGGATGGGTATAACAATGAGTTGGGAAGATTAAGAAGGCACAGGGATAAGGAACAAGGGTGGGTCCCAGTAGGGCCACACTACCAG